TGACACAGAGTACAGTAGAGGATGACACAGAGTACAGTAGAGGATGACACAGAGTACAATAGAGGATGACACACAGTACACAGTAGAGGATGACACACAGTACAGTAGAGGATGACACAGAGAGTACACTACAGGATGACCCAGAGAGTACAGTAAGAGGATGACACAGAGAGTACAGTAGAGGATGACACAGAGTACACTACAGGATGACACAGAGTACACTAGAGGATGACACAGAGTACACTAGAGGATGACACAGAGTACAGTAGAGGATGACACACAGTACACTAGAGGATGACACACAGTACACTACAGGATGACAGAGAAGTACAGTAGAGGGGATGACACACAGTACAGTAGAGGATGACACAGAGTACAGTAGAGGGATGACACAGAGAATTACACTGGGATGACACAGGAGTACAGTAGAGGATGACACAGAGTACACTACAGGATGACACAGAGTACAGTAGAGGGATGACACACAGGACACACTAGAGGGATGACACAGAGACACACACTACAGGATGACCACAGAGTACAGTAGAGGATGACACAGAGTACACTAGAGGGGATGACACACAGTACAGTAGAGGGATGACACAGAGACACAGTAGAGGATGACACAGGAGTACACTACAGGATGACACACAGTACAGTAGAGAGAGGATGACACAGAGTACAGTAGGGGATGACACACAGTACAGTAGAGGATGACACAGAGTACAGTAGAGGATGACACACACAGTACAGTAGAGGGATGACACAGAGTACAGTAGAGGATGATGACACACAGTACACTAGAGGGATGACACACAGTACAGTAGAGAGGATGACACAGAGTACAGTAGAGGATGACACAGAGTACAGTAGAGGGATGACACAGAGTACAGTGAGGGATGACACAGAGTACAGTAGAGGATGACACAGAGTACACTAGAGGGATGACACACAGTACACTAGAGGATGACACAGAGTAAACTAGAGGATGACACAGAGTACAGTAGAGGGATGACACACAGTACACTAGAGGGGATGACACAGAGTACAGTGAGAGGGATGACACAGAGCACATTAGAGGGATGACACACAGTACAGTAGAGGATGACACACACAGTACAGTAGAGAGGATGACACAGAGTACAGTAGAGGGATGACACAGAGTACAATAGAGGATGACACACAGTACAGTACAGAGGGATGACACACAGTACAGTGGAGAGGATGACCACACACAGTACACTAGAGGATGACACACAGAGTACACTAGAGGGATGACACAGAGTACAGGACAGGGGATGACACACACAGTACACTAGAGGATGGCACACAGAGTACAGTAGAGGATGACACAGGAGTAAACTAGAGGGATGACACAGAGCACACTAGAGGATGACACAGAGTACAGTAGAGAGGATGACACAGAGTACAGTAGAGGATGACACAGAGTACAATGAAGAGGATGACACACAGTACAGTAGAGGATGACACACAAGTACAGTAGAGGATGACACAGAGTACACTACAGGATGACACAGAGTACAGTAGAGGATGAGACACAAGAGTACAGTAGAGGATGACACAGAGTACACTACAGGATGACACAGAGTACAGTAGAGGGGATGACACAGAGTACACTACAGGATGACACAGAGTACAGTAGAGAGGATGACACACAGTACAGTGAGGGGATGACACACAGTACACTACAGGATGACAGAGAGTACAGTAGAGGATGACACACACACAGTACAGTGAGGGATGACACAGAGTACAGTAGAGGATGACACAGAGTACACTACAGAGGGATGACACAGAGTACAGTAGAGGGATGACACAGAGTACACTACAGGATGACACAGAGTACAGTAGAGGGATGACACACAGTACACTAGAGGGATGACACAGAGTACACTACAGGATGACACAGAGTACAGTAGAGGATGACACAGAGTACACTAAGAGGATGACACACAGTACAGTAGAGGATGACACAGAGTACAGTAGAGGATGACACAGAGTACACTACAGGATGACACAGAGTACACTAGAGGATGACACAGAGTACAGTAGAGGATGACACACAGTACAGTAGAGGATGACACAGAGTACAGTAGAGGGATGACACACAGTACACAGTAGAGGATGACACAGAGTACAGTAGAGGATGACACACAGTACACTAGAGGATGACACACACAGTACACTAGAGGATCACACACAGTACAGTGAGGGATGACACACAGTACAGTAGAGGGATGACACAGAGTACACTAGAGGATGACACACAGTACAGTAGAGGGATGACACACAGTACAGTAGAGGATGACACACAGTACAGTAGAGGGATGACACAAGAGTACAGTAGAGGATGACACACAGTACAGTAGAGGATGACACAGAGTACAGTAGAGGATGACACACACAGTACAGTAGAGGATGACACAGAGTACAGTAGAGGGATGACACACAGTACACTAGAGGGATGACACACAGAGTACAGTAGAGGATGACACAGGGAGGTACAGTAGAGAGAGGATGACAGAGTACAGTAGGGATGGACACACACAGTACACTAGAGGGATGACACACAGTACAGTAGAGGATGACACAAAGTACAGTGAGGGATGACACAGAGTACAGTGAGAGGGATGACACACAGTACAGTAGAGAGGATGGACACACAGTACAGTGAGAGGATGACACACAGTACAGTAGAGGATGACACACAGTACAGTAGAGGATGACACACACAGTACAGTAGAGGATGACACACAGTACAGTAGAGGATGACACAGAGTACAGTAGAGAGGATGACACACAGTACAGTAGAGGGATGACACACAGTACAGTAGAGGGATGACACACAGTACAGTAGGGATGACACACAGTACAGTAGAGGATGACACAGAGTACAGTAGAGGGGATGACACACAGTACACTAGAGGATCACACACAGTACAGTAGAGGATGACACACAGTACAGTAGGGAGGGACACTAGAGGCACTAGGGGATGGCACACAGTACACTAGAGGGATGACACAGAGTTCAGTGGGGATGACACAGAGTACACAGTGAGGATGGCACAGAGTACACTAGAGAGGATGACACACAGTACACTAGAGGGATGACACACAGTACAGTAGGGGATGACACACAGTACAGTACAGAGGGGATGACACAGAGTACAGTAGAGAGGATGACACAGAGTACAGTAGAGGATGACACAGAGTACAGTGAGGGATGACACAGAGTACAATAGAGGGATGACACACAGTACACTAGAGGGCTGACACAGAGTACAGTGAGGAGGACACACACAGTACAGTAGGGATGACACACAGTACAGTAGAGGGATGACACAGAGTACAGTGTAGGGATGACACAGAGTACAGTGAGGGATGACACACAGTACAGTAGAGGATGACACAGAGTACAGTAGAGGGATGACACACAGTACAGTAGAGGGATGGCACAGAGTACAGTAGAGGGATGACACAGAGTACAGTAGAGGATGACACAGAGTACAGTAGAGGGATGACACAGAGTACAGTAGAGGGATGAGTCACACACACAGTACACTAGAGGGATGACAGAGTACAAGGGCCTCAGGGATGACACACAGTACAGTAGAGAGGGATGACACACATACAAGGGATGACACACAATTACAGTAGAGGGATGACACAGAGTACAGTAGAGGATGACACAGAGTACAGTAGAGAGGATGGCACAGAGTACAGTAGAGGATGAGGAGGATGAGAGTACACTAGGGGATGACACAGAGTACAGTGAGGGATGACACACAGTACAGTAGAGGATGACACACTAGAGTACACTAGCTACAAGGATGACACACAGTACAGTAGAGGGATGACAGTAGAGTACAGTAGAGGATGACACACAGTACAGTAGAGAGGGATGACACAGAGTACAGATGATAAGGGATGACACACACACAGTACAGTAGGGTGGGATGACACAGGGTACAGTAGAGGGATGACACACAGTACAGTGAGGGATTGACACAGAGGTACACTAGAGGGATGACACAGAGTACAGTACTAGGATCACTACTAGAGGATGACACAGGTACAGTGGGGATGACACTGGGCAAGTAAACTACTAGAGGATGACACACAGTACACTAGAGGATGACACAAGAGTACAGTAGAGGATGACACAGAGTACAAGGGGATGACTAGGGATGACAGAGTAAACTACAAGGATGACACACCAGTACACTAGAGGGGATGACACAAGGGTACACTAGAGGGGATGACACAGAGTACACTAGAAGGATGACACAGAGTGCATTACAAGGATGCCACAGTACAGTGAGGGATGACATACATACAAGGGGCCTCACTAGGGATGACACAGTACACTACAAAGGATGACTAGAGTACACTAGAGGACACACAGAGTACACTAGAGGATGACACAAGAGTACACTAGAGGGATGACACAGAGTACAGTAGAGGATGACACAGAGTACAGTAGAGGATGACACACAGTACAGTAGGGATGACAGATACATACAGAGGGGATACACACTAGAGGATGACACATACAGAGTACACTAGGGATGGATGACAGTACAGTGAGGGCCTCACTACAGTAGAGGATGACACAGAGTACAGTAGGGGGATGACACAGAGTACACTAGAGGATGACACAGAGTACATACAAGAGGATCACACACAGTACAGTGATGGGATGACACACAGTACACTACAAGGATGACACAGAGTACAGTAGAGGATGAACAGCCTACACTAGAAGGATGACAAAGAGTACAGTAGAGGATGATGACATACAAGGGCACTCAGAGGGATGACAGTACATACAAGGGCCCTCACTAGAGGGATGACAGTACATACAGGGGCCTCATTAGGGATGACAGTACATACAGAGGCCTCACTAGAGGTGGATGACAGTACATACAAGGGCCTCACTAGAGGATGACACAGTGGACATTTACATACAAGGGCCTCACCTTCTGAAGTTCATTCATAGCTGCTATCATGCCAGCACAAATATTGAAGATATGAACAGCCCGCCTGTGTTTCGTGTTCTGATGCCAAATTTCTGAAATTTATAAAGCAGAACTACTCTAGATGAGAGATAAGTGAGTGAGTGAGTGTCTTGAGTTAAGTTTAAGCGCATTCAGCAATATTCCAGCTATATGGAGGTGGCCTGTAAAATAATCAGAGTCTGGACCACACAATCCATTGATCAACAGCATGAGCATCGATCTAGCCATGGTGGGAACTGATGAAGTGTCAACCAAGCCAGCGAGCCTGACCACCCTGATCCCATTAGTCACCTCTTACAACAAGCATGGGTTACTGAACATTCATTCTAACCAGGACCTTCCACGGGTCCTATACAAGATGACCTGACTGACTGAGTTTTTTGCCGGCTTTTAGCAATATTCCAGCAACATCTGACGGGGACACCAGAAATGGGCTTCACATTGTGCCCATGTGGGGATTGAACCGGGTCTTGGGCATTGTGAGCCAGCGCTTTAACCATTTGGCTACCCCTGCCCCCTATACAAGATGAACGATATTAATATATATATATATTTCTTAGTAATACTGGTTGTTGGAATAATATGAATAATTCCTTAATTGTCTATTTCTATAAATGATTAAGATAATTAATTAACTGTCAATGAATAAATTCCAGTAAACAGTGAGTCCATGGTGTGTGTAGGAGAGTTTGAGTAAACAGTGAGTCCATGGTGTGTGTAGGAGAGACTGATTTGCACCAAATGCGCCTATTGTAAATGATGTTCCTTGATATACCAAGGGCTGATGGTTGACAGATGATGACAAACCAGTGGCTTCATGGTTGACTTATGATGGACAGAGAACCCACCTGAGCTTCCAGGAAGATCTCTATACATCTCAGTGCAGTATGAAGATGACAACATGACTCATCAATGAGTCGGATCCCACCCGTCCACCTGGTGTGAGAACTCTACAATACAGCAATCAGTGCAGTGAAGAGAGGCGACAAAACACAGGCGTAACAAGCTTCACACCCCTTCAGCAAAGTCATGGGATCACACCCCTTCCACCTGTGTGTGACACCCCTTCAGCAGCAAGTTACACCCCTATACATGGGATCCACCCTTCCACCTGTGGGTCACACCCCTTCAATAGCAAGTTACACCTGTGTGTGTGCATACCCTATACATGGGATCACATCCTTCCACCTGTGTGTGACACCTTCAGTAGCAAATTACACCCTATACAATGGATCACACCCTTCCCACCTGTGGGTCACACCCCTGTCAGCAGCAAGTCACACCCCTATATACATGGGATCACACCCCTTCCACCTGTGTGTGACACCCTTCAGCCAAGGATCACACCCCTTCCACCTGTGGGTCACACCCTGTCAGCAACAAGTCACACCCCTATACATTGGATCACACCCTTCCACCTGTGTGCAAGGTACACCCTATACATTGGATCACACCCTTCCACCTGTGGGTCACACCCTGTCAGCAGCAAGTCACACCCCTATACATGGGATCACACCCTTCCACCTGTGTGTGACACCCCTTCAGCAGCAAGTTACACCCCTATACATTGGAACACACCCTTCCACCTGTGGGTCACACCCTGTCAGCAGCAAGTCACACCCCTATACACTGGATCACACCCTTCCACCTGAGGGTCACATCCCTTCAGCTACAAGCCACACTTGGGCAAGCTATCAATTTAAATCATACCAATTTATAGTTCTTAATGAAATATCAATCAATTATTAATAAGTATCAGAGAAGCAACTTTGAAAGTCTGAATAAAATTAACACATTTCACATCAGTGGTGAGTTTTGACATATTTATGCACATTTTACTAACAAAGCAGCATCCTGAACATAACCTAGAAGCAGCCAAAGATTAAAGACCAAACTTTGAGCATTGTGTGAGTAAATCAAAAATATATTTTAGTACAAAAGTTATGTATGATATTAATAATGACACAATTTTCATGCTGATGATCAATCATAATTTTTCCTGTCAATGATATTTCTGACAGTTGATTTCTATAGACAGCTCCAAGTCTGACAAGTTGAATCAAACCCTTCTACACGTGGGTCACACCCCTGTATCAGTGGGTCACACCCCTGTATCTGTGGGTCACACCCCTGTATCTGTGGCACCTATTCCCCATGTCCTTCTACACATGGTCACACCCCTGTATCTGTGGCACCTGTTCCCCATGTCCTTCTACCATAGGTGGGTCTGTGGCACCTACTCATGTCCTTCTACCCTGGGTCTCCCCCTGTCCTGTTCCCATGACCACACGTGGGTCACACCCCTGCATCTGTGGCACCCTACTCCCCATGTCCTTCTACACATGGGTCACACCCCTGTATCTGGCATCCCTGTTCCCCATGTCCTTCTACGTGGGTCACCACCCCTGTATCTGTGGCACCTACTCCCCATGTCCTTCTGCGTGGGTCACACCCCTGTATCTGTGGCACCTGTTCCCCATGTCCTTCTACACATGGGTCACACCCATGTATCTGTGGCACCCTACTCCCCATGTCCTTCTACCGTGGGTCACACCCCTGTATCTGTGGCACCTGTTCCCCATGTCGTGGGTCCACCCTGTATCTGTGGCACCTACTCCCCATGTCCTTCTACACGTGGGTCACACCCCTGTATCTCTGGCACCTGTTCCCCATGTCCTTCCACACATGGGTCACACCTATTATCTGTGGCACCTACTCCCCATGTCCTTCTACACATGGGTCACACCCCTGTATCTGTGGCACCTACTCCCCATGTCCCTTCTACATGGGTCACACCTATCCTGTGGCACCTGTCCCCATGTCCTTCTACACATGGGTCCACCCCTGTATCTGTGGCACCTATGTCCCCATGGGTCCTTCTACATGGGTCACACCCCTGTATCTGTGGCACCTACTCCCCATGTCCTTCTACACATGGGTCACGCCCTGTATCTGTGGCACCTACTCCCCATGTCCTTCTACATGGGTCCACCCTTATCTGTGCACCTACTCATGTCCCTTCTACAGTGGGTCCACCCTGTATCTGTGTCACCTACTATTCCCATGTCCTATCTGTGGTTACCACCCTGTATCCTGTGCTTTCTCTCCCATGTCCCTTCTACACATGGGTCCACACTAATCCCCTTTGTATCTGTGGCACCTGGTCCTTCCTATCCATGTCTCCCCATTCTTCTACCATGGGTCACACCCCTGTATCTGTGGCACCTATTCCCCATGTCCTTCTACACATGGGTCCACCCCTCCCCCATCTGTGGCACCTTGTCCCCCATGTCCTTCTACACATGGGTCACACCCCTGTATCTGTGGCACCTATTCCCCATGTCCTTCTACACATGGGTCACACCCTGTATCTGTGGCACCTATTCCCCATGTCCTTCTACACATGGGTCCATGTCCCCCTGTATCTGTGGCACCTATTCCCCATGTCCTTCTACCGTGGGTCACACCCCTGTATCTGTGGCACCTACTCCCCATGTCCTTCTACCACGTGGGTCACACCCCTGTACCTGCCCTGTGGCACCTATTCCCCCATGTCCTTCTACTACGTGGGTCACCCCTGTATCTGTGGCACCTACTCCCCATGTCCTTCTACACATGGGTCCACACCCTGTATCTGTGGCACCTATTCCCCATGTCCTTCTACCACGTGGGTCACACCCTGTATCTGTGGCACCTACTCCCCATGTCCTTCTACACATGGGTCACACCCCCTGTGTCTGTGGCACCCTGTCCCCATGTCCTTCTACACATGGGTCACACCCCTGTATCTGTGGCACCTACACCCCTGTCCCCATGTCCTTCTACACATGGGTCCACCCCTGTATCTGTGGCACCCTATTCCCCATGTCCTTCTACACATGGGTCACACCCCTGTATCTGTGGCACCTACTCCCCATGTCCTTCTACACATGGGTCACACCCCTGTATCTGTGGCACCCTGTGTCCCCATGTCCTTCTCGCACATGGGTCACACCCCTGTATCTGTGGCACCTACTTCCCCATGTCCTTCTACACATGGGTCCACACCCCTGTATCTGTGGCACCTACTTCCCCATGTCCTTCTACATGGGTCCACCCCTGTATCTGTGGCACCTATTCCCCATGTCCTTCTACACGTGGGCACCTACTCCCCATGTCCTTCACACCCCTGTATCTGTGGCACCTATTCCCCATGTCCTTCTACACATGGGTCACACCCTGTATCTGTGGCACCTATTCCCCATGTCCTTCCACATGGGTCACACCCTGTATCTGTGGCACCTATTCCCCATGTCCTTCTACATGGGTCACACCCTAATATCTGTGGCACCTATTCCCCATGTCAGAGCCATACCTGGACAGAAGGAAATAGATGTTTTCGTTTTTAGTTTGGGTCAAAGCCGAATACACCCCGTCAGCTATCGCGTATATGTGCGATGGGTTTTAAAATCTCGTGCATTTAGGTGGGTTATAGCTGAAGACAAGCGTGAATAGAGTTTAACATCAGCGTGGGTATAGTTAGACATATTGTTGAGGGACAAAGGCGATCCATACAGAGCTAAAGCCAGGGGTTAAAAGTTATTATTTAGACATAGCTTCCATTATCGGGAAGACATTCATAGAAGCTAAGTTATCATTCACAATTTCGGTGAATGTACAGTGTGGGGGATTTTTCATTTGGTTTACTGTTTTTTTTCAGTTTTGGTGCATTAAATGTTCAGACAATTATTTTGACTATTCGTTTATTTTATATACGGGGAATACGAACTGCCTCATTCCCAATACCTATCTACATGTGAGTGACACCACTCTGTGGATCTGTACCTGTGAGAACTCTCATTGCACCGTGGACAGCGTTGGTGTCTCCACTGGTCAGGGCTTGCATGAGGACCTGAAACAGCTGTGGCCATGCTTCTGGCCAGTCCCAGTGAGCTATGGCAGATATAGCATAGGCAATACTGGTCCTCACTTTACTTATGGACTCCTGTAGGCCCAGGGGCAGCAGCTCGCGGATTTTCTGCTTTGCCTGGGATTAAAAAACAATTCTCACATAACCAGTGTGCAAAATGATATAAACAGTGAGAAGTGGGTGAAACAATACAGTGAGCAAAACAATGAAAAAAGCATTTCTAACTAGATAAAACATTCTGCAAAAGTTAATGGGGTTCCTGTGCTAGAAAAGTGCCTATCTTTTAGGATCTCTAAGCAGCAGTAAAAGTGTTTTAGTTATTATTATGTCACCTCCACCCTTCAGAACTTGTGCTGAATATAACCATGGATGCATGTAACCCCCTGGTCTAACGGGTGGTGACAAGCACTGCTGTTCTACATGGTCAAGATATACAGTGTGGGTGATAAGGCTGGGTGTATCATATTACCCGATATTGATCCTATCTCTACATTTGGTCTAGAAATAATATTAGAGTGATGACTCCTTGACTCTCAAACACTGAATCAACTTATATGCAAAGGAGGTGGTTATTGTCATGAGGTTTCTTTGACAGGGAACATCACTGATGCTGAAACATACAGAAACATACCCTAGCCAAAATAAGAATACATAAAGTACCCTACAACAAGCCCATTTTGCATTGTGCAGTTTCCTTGATCGGGAGCGGTCATACAGTTGTATCAGATGCATTAGATTGTGCAGACATAGCAACGAATATTTTATGAAGCACAATAAAACTAACAAATCTGTGGAATGGAAACAACTACATATGGTTTCAGTTTTAGCATGTTTAGGTTGCGGAATATGGACCCGTCCCCTTTTTAGGATACCAGTTACGGTTCTGTATTTTGACTTTGTTTAGGGTACTTTTCTGTATACAGAAACGTACCTAAGGTACATATCTGTTGTACCTGAACCCAAAACGACCCCTTTGGCATCAATGACTGTTAAATTCACAATAACTTTAAAAATTCTTAAGTTCAGAGCAACTAAGTGACTTTCAAAAATGTCCAATATAGCACGTCCATTTGTGGTGGCTTGCAAGCACAATGTAAACCACAACAGATATGCCTGTAAAGGTTGATTAGAATACTCATAGCCAAAGAAAATATATCGTTTCACTATTATCACCATTATTCTTACAATCCTAAAAGCAGAAACAGTTTTACATTAATAGAGATCTGAGAGCATCCATCAATTCTTTATAAAGAACAATTTTGTGTGAGTATGTCCTGTACACCAATCAGTTATTTACCGACTGCAGTCATAAGAACTCACCGGTTCTGTGGTTTCAGTTATTTACCGACTGCAGTCATAAGAACTCACCGGTTCTGTGGTTTCAGTTATTTACCGACTGCAGTCATAAGAACTCACCAGTTCTGTGGTTTCAGTTATTTACCGACTGCAGTCATAAGAACTCACTGGTTCTGTGGTTTCAGTTATTTACCGACTGCAGTCATAAGAACTCACCGGTTCTGTGGTTTCAGGCTCTCGGAACTTGTCCGAGTGCTGCGACCAGTGGGCTTCAACATATTGTTTGAGCAGTACTGAAGCCAGCTGTCTAATCGCTAGAGGCCCACTGCCATCAACAGTGATCTCAGCCAAGAATACACCAAACTCTGAAATAAACAATGATCACAATTTTCACTCACTAACAGAAAAGATGATATATAGAGAATACTACACGAGGTCTCATTACATACGAATTATACAAAACGAGTGTCCTTCCTATGGTATCTGACCCGGCGAGCGTCAGAAAGCTCTATAGGAAGATCAAAAGTTCGATATAATGTATGTAATGAACTGAGTCAATGTATTTTATTTATTACCCACGTCTTACATGCATTGAATTGACAAAATAGCGTATTTTTGTTATTGTTATGGTTTCAAACCGAAACCGGTTTCATAAATATGTTGCGGAAGAATTTTGTTCTGTAGTACACTTTTGCATGATGTCACACTGTATTGACGTCACTACGAGATTCTTGTCTGTCCCCTTGGTAACTGACGTCACGCTGCATGTCAGTTGTCATCGCCTCTCGTACAGCCTCCTACAGTAACTACTCCGTAGCACCCCGTTTCTTCGTTTGCAACTGCTTCACTCGGCTAACATCACCGGTGGAAACATTGCGTTTATGTTTTTCGACAGATATAATGTCTCAGTTCGACTTAAAATTTAACAGTGACACGGCAAAGTTCGCAATGTTTACATTCCCACAATGCATCTAAGTTGTAGAATGAATGAATTCACGTGTTTGTTATGAATGAACAAGTAGTTCCGTCACAACGTAACCTAACTGAGAGGTCATCGGTTATCCAATCAAATCGTTAGAATATCAGGTCAAGTCGTTACGACACAGGTCAACGCGATACGACACGTGTGACGTACGAGATTAGTATGCAACAACCCATACTTTCACCACGTGGGTAATAATAACGTTTTTGGTACCTGAGGTAGACGTCTGTAGTATCCTTGCCGACGACCCCTTCGGCTTTAGTGGAAACCAAACCAAACCAACAAACCCCCTGGCGAACCTACAGACGGGCTTCCATCAGACACATAGACTTGCATCATTGTGAGGAGTGCTTCGGCCTTGATGCCAGGCAATAGTGGGCATACAAGTATACATTCGATAAATTATCTTGTTTTGCGCCGCCCCCGTGAACAAGTGGCTCATGTATGAGTATGACTCAATATTTTAATTCTGATTAATCGCAAAAGATAGTTACCCTCTGTCACTTCTAATGCCTTAATCTGATTTTCCCCGTCGGTTCTTGTATCATGCTGAGGCGACAAAATAGCAGTTAGACTTTCTAAAACGACTTCCTTCAGAGATCGATTTCTATCGCCAACTCCCGCCATGTTGCTTCAAATTGTTGTGTAAAATGGCGGGCAATGATCAGTCGGATTTGGATTGTGTATGTCTTCTTATGAGGATAAATGTGAGGACGGAAATTTATTACTTGCACGCGAATATATATACCAGTTGCTCATATATCACGAAATTATTAAACATTATGTTGATCCAATAATGTTACAAACAAAGTAAATCCGTATTCCGAACTGAACATTAGTTCTATATCTGATGCGCTCGGCAAATAGACTGGTGTACCTGTCCAAAAGCGCTTGCGCTTCTAACCTGGACTTACTTCAACCGCATTGTCTGCACTTTGAACAACGCTTGCGCTCCTCCCCAACTAGCCGTATGAGCATCAAAACTTCACAGATGAACGATAACTGTATGTCCAATAGGAATATACATTACTGAAACGCACTGCTGTTTTCTTTTCAAGAGTGTGCCTGTTTATGTAACAGTGATAGGCTTATGAAGATTATGGTGACAATTTATGGTTTAATTGTTTGTTGTTTAACGCCACACTCAGCAACATTCCAGCTATATGGGGGCAGTCTGTAACTAATCGAGTCTGGACCACACAATCCAGTGATCAACAGCATGAGCAGCGATCTACGCAACTGGGATGCGATGACATTTGTCAACAAAGTCACCGAGCCTGACCATCCGATCCAGTTAGTTGCCTAGCTCTTACGACAAGCATGGGTTGCTGAAGACCAGTTCTAACCCGGATCTTTACGGGTAGAAAATGTGTGGAAAACATATTCTAACGTAACTACTCACAACCGTTCACCTTTTATTTCTAAAAATGCTTTTAAACGTGAAAACACTTTACCATATATGTTTAGCTGTTAAGTGGAAATTAATTTCTTCCAATTTCCCTGACATTTAAGAATCACAGATCCCAATATTTTGCTTGAAAAGTCAAGTAAAATAATATATTTTTTCCATTCCTTTTCATAGTAGACGTTTTCAACTTTTGCTTTGCACCAAGAATAGCAACAGCTAGTTTCTTCGGCAAAGGGATACAGCGATTGAAGAGGGTCAAGTAGGGTACAGCCAGTTATCCAAGCACGTTGAGGATACACTTGATATTGATTGTACAACGTTCCCGGGTTACGAACAAACCTTTTGTCTTATCACATTCACGCCATGTTGCCTGATCCTCTCTCCAGCTCCATACTTGTAAGTATCATCTGAGCCCAAACCAGACGATTTGTGTATTGTGCCATATCCATTAAACGTTGAAGGAAACTGAGCTTCCTGTGTTTCCATGTAGTCAAGACGTGATCTTACACTCGCAGCTGTACCAACGTACTGTGCGTGAACACCACTGATGTTAGCCGAGGCATACAACTTTGTAAACATTATCCTGGGTGCTTAGCTTGGACATAGAATGGGTGGTACCTGTTTCATGTTTATGGCATACGTATGTCTGCTTAGTTCGATGAGTTAATTGGACATTTTGAGCAAAGAAATTAACTTGTTCCTACAACGTGGGCTAACTTCTCTACACAAAACACCATAGTTGTCAGACAATAAAAGTTTAATCCAACACCATTAGACAAATAATTTGGAATGATACTATACGTTAACTAGAGATTAGTCAGGAACAGAACTCGAAGCCAACAAACAACAAAGAAATGTGATATCATTAAAGGTCACATGCAACTTAAAACACAACTTTGCAGCTTCTGATACCTTTCGGTATGGACTTACAGATACAAATCATCAAAAATGCAAATTCAACTTATAAAGTTGAAAAATAACGCGATGAAAAAACCCCTCGAAATCGGAGTTCAAACGATCCCCTAAATTCACCCCAGCGCTTGGGGTGAAAAGTGGTTTCAACAGCTGTGCTGCGCTGCGATGGGCTGCGCTCATAGCACACGCGCAGTGAAATAGGTTCGCAGCTTGGAAGTGGGATGTCAGGATTATAAGGTCGTGAGCAGGAGTAGTCTAATCAAAACAAATAGTAGATAATCTACACATTACATAAAAGAACCTTGTTAGGATCTAGATCTACTCAGCTATGTGTCAACCAGTGAGGCGTTCGACAATTCAAGACGGAAAACCTTCACTGGTAGTGAATACTCGGTGAAGGCTTTGATGTGAGCTATTTTTCTAATGTTTTTTTAATATTTCACAGGTGCGAGATTTGTATATGTTATGACAGTAGATTACCAATTTAACTGTTTATATAATTTCATTTGTCTATTTCACCACACGTTCTTCTTACCGAGTCACTTTCTCAGTTCGATACTGAAAAGCAATGTCATTGTTTAGCGTTGACAGAATTTCTAACTGTGATATGTCGTTGTCACAGACAAAACTCAATGTCTGTTTTATTAACACCTATGTGTCTGCCTGCCTGTCTGCTAATGACAATATTCAATACACAACTTCGATCACTGACCACGTGGAATTTGAACTTAACACCTATCAGGCTATACACCATAAACAAAACGCATTGATTTATGGCCCGAGTTCGGTCTCTGTCACATTATGCACTTACACAGACAGGCAGATCATAGGCGCCCGACTGTGATATATTTATAAGCATGACCTATATATATGTTACAGTCAATGTCTACAATCACGCAATGTGTACAATGACTGAAATAACCAGTCAATGCGTACATTGCCTGATTCACTCAGTCATTGTGAACATAGTCTAAAATTTCCAGGCATTGTGTACATTGCCTGATTAATTAACCCAATTATTAGGTAGGTGTGATACTTGTACACATGATGTTATGATGTCTGTTGATTGCAAAATGTTATACACAAAAATGAGCATATATTTACAAAACACAACATCTCTATATACACACACACAATGAGCCGTGAGGGCGGTATGTTCTCATTTTGCCTACATCCTATTTCGCCTACAGTCTTAAAACAACATGTCATGGTCTGTTGACTGTTGATTACGCAATGGTGAACTAGTGGCACCCTTATGATCTAAAAATGGACTCTTCTATAGTTGAAGTAGTTGAAGGACAAAAAGAATTTATTTATTTCTGTTACTTATCATTTTCTGATCACAATGAAATGATAATTTATTTATCTTATATCACATCATCTTCTAGTTGAAGGACAAAAAGAAAGTTTTTTTAAAGAATTTATTTCTGTTATTTGTCTGTTACTTATTTATTCTGTTATTTGTCATTTTCCGATCACAATCGTGACATTGTCCATTCTCACTTCAACTTGATAAGGTGACCAGCTGCGTCCAGGAATTGAAGGGGTGATCTTCTCCCAGAAGCAAGTTGCTATCTAAGTCTGTCCAAGCGACTCTCCTGGTTTCGGTAGATCCTTTAAGTGAGTAAACAGTCTGATATATGTGTCACGGGATTTGCTGGGAAGTAGGGAAAAGGCAACTGGATACATCTGGTCCTGTACAAGGCAGTGCCAAACATACACTTGGGTGCAGAGACTAGGGCACACATAACATGTTCCATCCATGTACATTGTTTCGGCCACAGCAAGGATATCCATCATCTCTGCGGTTGTGAAGATTAGAATCCTGTTGTCATCACCGTCGTCTACAACCAGGAACTGCAGGCCGTCTGAAGTCTCTGTCTTAAAAGCTTAAATTATGTCTCTATTTGTTTGTAATTATTTTAAAAAACACAATCATGCGCAAGTCTTGAGGTTGTCACTTGTGTCAACAGATCTTATCCTCTTTACTCAACTACATATCATTATAACAACTTAGTATTTCACAGTGAGAAATTAACTACATCTCATCATCGCATGCATTAATCCCTGTCATTATATTTTAACCCTGTTTTAACTTCTCAGTGGATTCACTAATCCTGTTTACTCAACTACATATCCTTATAACAACAGTCGATCAAGACTTAGTGAGTCAGGTTCATTATAAGAGTTTTTGTAGGCGAATTGAGATGTAGGCGAATTGTGATGTAGGCGAAGAGAGACTAAACCGTGAGAGCATCGGCAAATGAACCAGCCGTTATACTTGAGTGCACGCCCACCCGCTCTGACTGGGTTCGGTATCCCGGGTGCTTCGTTTCGAGGCAAGTAAACCCAAGTACAAAATATTGCACTTTTGATTTGCGATTGTACGCTTATAATTTTGTTTATTTGTTTTTTTCATAATCAGCAATGTATATTATATGTCATGAACAAGTGATAATTGTGTTTTAATTATGTTTGAGTTTTTTGGTTACATGGTATTGTAAACTAAGTTTCAATAAGAAACACTTCAAAGGAAATACAGTGGCAGCGCAGAACAGGCTGGCGGTACAAATACAAAGGCAGTGTATCATATGAAGGCAATGAAGACATTGCTGATAGTCACTGCTGCTACAACAGTGGTCAGGCTTACAAACTAGGCCTCGGCTGAGTGTCTAAGGGTGAAGCGTGATCTAGTAACGTTAGATGTTATGTGAGTTCCCACAGGAAAAAGCATATCCTTTCATATACTCACAGACATGTTATTGTGACATGGGTCTTTTTCATTGGTAATGTTGTGAATACATTTTTCGATTTGAACCAGAGAAATAATGTGTTGAAATGGCCGAAGAAATGCAATCGATCCGTTGTTGTTCGAATTGCACGAAAAGTGCAAGAAGCATGACATATTCGAGAAATGACATAGGCTATTTTCACTTCAGAAGTTTGTATTTCCACTCAATGCAGTCTTAAGAAGTGCAGATGTCAGAAAAATCACACCTCTATTCATCGTCCTGGAACAAGTTCGACATGCCTCGCCTTCACAGGTGAGAGCTATAGGTATGCTTCAGCTAACGTCCATTGAAACACTGTTACACGGCCAATTCTGAATCCAGAACATCTACGTCAGTGTCCCCAGTGAAGCAGACAACATTTGCGATGAGGAGTAGAGAGATGACATTTTTGACCGATGAGTCACGTTTCCTTCTTCACCGAACTAGCGGCAGCACTCGTGTCTACAGGTGCACGGGTGAACGTTACATTAGACTATGTACAATACAACTTGGATGCAACGAACATGATACCATCAACA